CCCCCGGCCTAGGACTGACTCCCCTTCCCGCTCCCCCAGAATCTGGGAGCGCCTCTGTCCGGAGTAAACCAAATCCTGCTTGGAAGGGTAGAAAAGTCAAGTCCGTGTACAGGATGGTTGCTGGCCCTGCCTGGCATTCTAGATTTCACCCTGGAACCAGGGCAGGGAGGACAACAGGCAGGAAGGGCTTGGCGGCCTCATAATTTGAGAAGTGCACCTGAGGCCGTAAGGGTCCTGCTCTAAGCCAGGCCCGGGCTGGGCCTTCCCCCACTCTGCTCCCTGGCAAGCTCCCTTACCACACTTGGCCCCAGCACGGTGCTGCCCGGGCCTGCAGACCTCCACCAGCTCCGCTCGCTCCCCGGCTCCCAGGCCTGGCTTATGGGCCAGCTCATAGTCGAGGCCAGCCAGGCGCAGCAGGAAGCGGTCCTGGTTGATGGACTTTCTGACCATCTTCAGAGATCCTTTGAGTCGCCGCTCCATCCGCTGTCGCAGGCAGGGCAGCCCGCAACCCGCTGGTGGTGGATGTCGGTGTGAGTCAGGCAGAAGAGAAAGGAGAGTGGGGTGAGCGGGAGGGCGGGGAGTGGAGGCAGGAGGCAGGAGGCAGGAGGGACAGGTCCTTGAATCTGCATCACACAGCCTGTCCCTCGCCCAGGCTCCGTCCTCCCTTGGGCTGTGAGGCCTGGGTCTCTCCACCTCTGCCCTCCCCTTGGCCCTTCACCCAGCGGTTCCCCAGTCCCACCTGTGGTTTCTGCAGCCCTGACCTCTGCTTCCAGTTCCAGGGAGAGCCGGGTGACCTCCTTGCCTGGAGGGGTCCGGGCCCGGCGGCCCTTGCCCTTCCTGGAGGAGTCACACTTGAGGTGGATGAAGGTGACCTGGCAGTCAGCGCAGGGAGCAGCACCTGGGGGAGGGGCCTTGTCAACCCCAGGAGCGCCCCTGGGGGCAGAGGAAGTTCTCCTGCCCCGCCACCCAGGCAGACCTTACCACACCTCTGACTAACTCCCCTCCACCCTCTGTAGTTTAGGACCCTAGTTAGATGGTCAAGGGACTGTCCCGGGGCTTCCTACATCTGCTTTCCCCTGCTCTGGGTAGAGTCCGGGCACTGGAAGGTCTCTGAAGAAATCTCACTAAGCAGAGGGGCCAGTGGATGGGCAGGGTTTGGTGGCCAGGCAGCCCAGGGCAGTGAGGTCCCCCATCCAGACCTGGCCCTGGGGTTCTGCTGGCCTCCTCCAGTTTGCCTTTGTTCCGCAGGTGCAAACGGCACTTGGCGTCCTTGACCTTGAAGGAGGCTCGCTGTTTAACCGACAGCACTGCAGCCTCTAGAGGGATGGCAGAAGCTCAGCACGGCACGGGCCCCGGGGCGAGAGCTGCTTTGAGGGTGTTGTGGGGCTGGGCTAGAAAGTGGGGTTAGGAAAGCCCAGGAGACTGGGTGGTGAGGGTGGAGGAATTGAGGCAGCAGGGCTGCAGAATGACGGAGCAGCGGAGGAGACCCAGGAAAAAGCAAGGCCCGGGTTCATGACAAAGTGAATCAAAGGGTTAGTGTAGGAGAGGAGGCTGGGAGCAGGGCTTCCGGGCTGGTGCTCACCATGGCACTGGCTGGAGCTGGTGCTGTTCCCAGGATGGCCAGCTCGGGCGGTGGCAGCCCGTGGGCTGGGGGTGCCACAGCTCACCGTGAAGCCATTCTCTGACTCTGAGGGAAGGGGCCTGTCACTGCTCTGACCTGACCCCAAAACCCACCGGCTGGGGAGTCTGGGGGAACCAGAGGAGCTGCTGAACAGTCCACAGCCCTTCAGTACCACCCTGCCCTGTACCTGGCAAAAACCGGGCCCGGGAGGAGCAGGTCAGGGAACAGGTGTCCTTCTTGCCAGACCTGTTGCAGCTGAGCATGGCTTTGGAGGCACCAGGGTTGCCTTGACACTTCACTGGCTCTAGGAAGGGGAGAGGCATGAGGAGACAGGTGCATTCCTCTCCCGCCCTCTCCCTAGCTTGTGAACGTGCAGGAAGAAAATCAGGTACGTGCAGCACTGCTGCTGTGCCACGGAGACTGAGGAGGGGAATATGTACCAGGAGAGCCACAGGTTTAGCTGCAATGGCTACATGCTCGGCGTTTCCCCCTCATCCCTTCCCAGCCCAGCATTCTGCTCTGCAGGACCCCAATGCGCCCCTGAAGCTGCAGTTCCAGATCTGGCCAGCAGAGCGCGCCGCGCACCTGTGCAGTCCTTGCCGTTCCAGTGCAGCCGGCCCTGGCCCGTGGGGCAGGTACATTGGTAGCTGCCCGGAGTGTTGATGCAGCCAAAGCGGCAGCCTCCTCGGTTGACGCTGCACTCATCAACATCTGGGGGAAGGAGAAGGCGCACGGACAACAGTGGGCAGTCGCAGGTGCCAGGGAGGGGGCCTACGTGGGACTTAAAGGTTCAAGGCACCCTGATTAGGTGCAATGGGTGAGTTCTAGGGACCCATGTGATATTATGGCTGTAATTAAAACTGTAAGTTACATTTAAAACTTTTAAGAGGATAAATATCCTGTTAAATATTCTTATAATTGGAAAAAATAACTTTGAAAAGAGTTTCCTAGCCTGAGAAGAACTCAGACCTCCTCTCATCTCTGTCCCCGCTGTGAGAAACCACTGAGAAGGGCTCAAGCGGACAGCTTTTTAAAGCCCCTCACGCTGCCCGCCAGTCGGCTGCCATTTGGAAGCTGAGGACGGAGGCCGGGGGATGGTGAGAGGTACGGGAGACAGGGATTGGAGGCAAGCTGCTACTCCTGGGAGCCCTGTCTCCCAAGTGGCCTTCCCATCTCGTCACAGCAGATGCCTAGAGCCATGGCCACGGAGGGGACTCAGCCAGTTGGCGGTGAGGGGCCAGGGTGGCGGAGGGCACACCCTCACTGACCTACCCCCACAGTGGGTGACGCCATACAGCAGGTAGCCACGGTGGCAGAGGCACTGGAAGCTTCCTGGGGTGTTGACACAGACGTGGTCACAGGTCCGGTCAAAGGAACACTCGTCGATATCTAAACGAGCAAGGATTCAGGCCACGGAGTCCACTGTGGGGCACCTGACCTCCTCTTTGAGCCAGACAGACCCTAGTCCTGAACGGGTGCCCGTTCAGTGCCTGAGCCATGCCCACCCACCCTCTTTGCGCCCTCTACTTGGCGTCAAGAACTGCAAGATGGGTGTGGCGCCGATGGACCAGGCACCGTGTGTGGTCAGGCAGGCCCCTGTCAAGGACACGCACTGGGCTGAAGTCTGTTCCTCCCTCCTTGCCACACTGCATGTGCCAGTGTGGAGCGGGTCTGCCCAAAGGGAGGTGTAATTTGCCCGCATGCAGCATGACTGCCTGCAGACCACACAGTGTCTGCTGAGTGTCTCAGATGCTGGCCTCCCCGAAGCTCTCCCACCCTGAGAACCTCTCCTGAGGCTTTCACCTCAGCCCGGGTGTGCTCACCCTGGCAGTTCCTCTCATTGATGAGCAGCTTATAGCCTTTCTTGCAGCTGCATTCGAAGCTGCCCACTGTGTTTCGGCAAATGTGGTCACAGCCCCCATTGTTCAGGCGGCACTCGTCTATGTCTGGGAAAGAAGGACAAAATAGAATAAAAGATAACAACAAAGAACCTGAAACACAGACAAGGAGCCAAGCAAAACCACAGAGGGCCCTGGGCCTGCCCCTTCTGACTCCTCTGCCACTCACATGGCCCCGTTTCCTCCCTGCTCCGGGGATCTGCGGCCACTATGGTCCCAAGAGCCAGGCTCCGGCCATCAAGAAACTGGAGCAGGGAGCAGGTGGGCCTCTGACACACAGGACAGGCTGTGCCCCTTACTCTTCAGCTGGCGTCCATTCCCAAGAGGGAATGGGTGGAGCTGTCCCTTTCCCCGTCCCCAAGCCCTGTCACAAGGGCCCCGTCAAGAGTGCTGAAGGAGGGCTAGGGATTTAGCTCAGTGGTTCTGCCGCCTGCTTTGCAAGCACAAGGACTCAAGTTCGATCCCTGGTACCACACACACACAAAAAAAAAAGTGCTGAAGGGGCCGGGGAGAGGTGCAGAGTCAAGGGGACTCAGTGGAGAGGGCCAGCCTTCAGGGAGCCGGGAAAGAGGCCAGACAGGGAGGACTTCCGGGAGAGCCAGTGAGGCTGGGTCCCTGAGTGGGAGGACGGGGCCAGGCAGGGGGCTGGACCGGAGAGGTCTGGAGAGACTCAGGCCTGATGGCAGAGGGAAAGGCGGGCAGCAAGCAGCTTCCTTCCTGAGGTCAAGTTCCCCAAGCTGGTGGCAGACAGGACCCAGGCTACTGAGCCCTCACTTCTCTCTTACCTACCTGTCAACAGTCCTTCCCAGCAGGAAGCCTCTCCACTCAGGGCTGACCTGCTGCCCCGGCCCCGCCCCTCCCCTCGCAGCTGCTGGGCCACAAGACACAAAGGAGCCTACTGCTCTCTGCAGTCCCCCTTAGTTGTGACCAAAGGACACAGGCTTGGCGAATCAATGTTTTCAATATTGTTTCTCTCTCTTTTTCTCTTCCTTCTCCCTTGTCTTCCCTTAGACTCAGCTCATTTAAAAAAGGGAGATGTAGGGCTGGGATGTAGCTCAGTGGTACCACCACCTGCCTTGCAAGCACAAGGTCCTGAGTTCCATCCCCAGTACCCAAATAATAAATAAATAATAGAAAATAGAAAAGGGAGACAGAATACACACTATTGGAAATTATACTCTGACGACAGCTAACAACGTGCACCCAAGGTACCAAGCTCTTTCCTAAGTGTATATCTTATTTAATCCTCACAATTCACCTACAAGGCAAGTACTATGGAGCAAAGGAGGCAGGCACCGTGAAGTACCTTGCCCAGGGTCACGGACCTAGGAGAGGCGGAGCTGGCATCTGCACCCAGTAGCCAGGCACAGCACCAAGCCTAACTGCTGTCCTAGTTCTCCTTGGCCAGTCCGGAGCATTTGTGGAGCCCACTGGGAAGGTCTGAGGAAGGCGGGTTAGGGTTACAGAACACACCTGTGACCTGTGCACAGTCAGGGCTCAGATATCCTCCAGCCCCAGGGCAGACGTGACCCACCCTCATTAACTGGGAGGCTCCTGCCCTGCAGGGGAGCAGGGATGGGAGTTCGGAGGGTGCTGAGGGGCTGGCTGGACTCCTGTGCCCCTTCAGTTGAGAAGCAAAAGGTGGACAGGAGACCACCCTGCGCCCTGTCCCGGGTGTAAGGAGAGTGTGAGTAAGTGCGGTGCCTAATAGTACCCGCCGCCTGGTGCCAACCTCACCCCATCCCGCAGGTCTCCGCGCCGTCCTCTCGAAGCCCTTACCTTTGCAGGTCTTCCTGTCTGGCTGCAGCATGAAGCCCACAGGGCAGCTGCAGTGGACCCCCGCTGCTGCATCGTGGCACTTACTGTCACAGCCCCCGTTGTTGACAGCACAGGTCTCTGTTTAGGAGGGAGGTGGGGGTGGTAATGGGGTTACCAGCCTCCAGGCATCCCAACTTCAGGGTCAGAGAGACCCCAGAGGACAGAGCCACCTCCCTGTGCTTTAGCAGGAGCATTAAGCGGAGGCTGGCGGTCGCTTCCTCCCCTCGCTCCCAGCCCCCAGCCCCTCCTGGTGCAGCCAAGCAGTCCACTTCCCTGCCCCCTACTTGATTGAAACAAGGTGGACAGCAGTGAGGCAGGTACAAGCCAGAGCTGTCAGGCAGGAATGTGCGGGGGTGGGGGAGGGATCGGAGCTACGTGGTCACCAGGGCACGGGAGGGACAGAAGTTTCCTCCTCCTGCCAGTGACTCTTGGCGGGGGAGTGGGGTCACCGTGGGACAGTCTCACTAGGGGCGAGCTGGGAAGAGCCTGGGGATCCCTAAGATAGCTGACGGATGCCCCCAGTTTATCTCCCCTTGCTCTCTGCCCAGCTGTACTGAGGAAGACCCCACTCTGGGGCTGCTCAGACTCCAAGGAGACTGGGCACTGGGTAGTGTTCCTTCAGCGCCTCCCCAGCCCTCCTATCTCCGGGAGGAGAGGAGCTCACTGTTTGGTCACTGTTTTACCTCCTAATGGGAGATAATGTGCAGGGGTCAGCAGGGGCCAAAGGAGAAGAATGCAGAGAAGAGGGTGTGAAAGGTAAGGGAGAGCTTTAGAGAACCCCAGAGCTGGACACAAACAGAACCCTGTTTTGCTAAGTCTCTTCTGTTGCTCCCTCTTGGCCGGTGGTATTTTCCCTTGCTGAGAGGTCAGAGGGGAAGTATGCATGGGTCACTCTCTCTAGGTTCTGAATTCAGAGCAGGAGAAAAACAGCTTTAGACAGCAGCTTGTGAGAGTCAGACAGGTCCAGGAAAACCAGCAGCTCAAATAGTGCAAGAGCCTGACCCCGGGACTGGGAGGTGTTATAGACCCTTTTGTTTGGGATGCTTAGAGCTTTTCCCTCTAGAGAGAGAAAATCCCAAGGTGTCTGGGAGGGAAGAGAGGAGAGGCTCACAGAACTGGGGGGAAGTGATGAGAAAAGCACAGACAGTGCTGTCACCTTTAATCTCAACTCCTTACAAGCCCCACCCTTTTCTCCAGGGCTCCAGAAGAAGCCTGGCTCTGTCTGTGGCCCCGAGCTACATCCTGGTCCCTCAAATGGCCAGGCTCAGGAGCAGCCAGCGTGGGATCGTCCATGTCAGTCCTCCCTCAGCCTCTCCCGAGGTTCCCAAGACCATGAGGTACCTGAGGGAACCTTGGGACCGAGCCCAGCTTCCCCGCAAGAGTGTGTGTTCTAAGAGGCTCACTAGTCCTGGAGCAGAGGGTAGAGAACAGAGATCCGGTGCCACATCTAGGTGGCTTCTGAAGGGTCCAGGATGGAGGCAGCAGATGTCCCTCCCCAGCTGGACCAGGAAGCTGGGCAGAGCTGGCCACCTTGTCAGGACAGCCTTCCTCAGAGCAGGGTGGCACAGCCTCGCTGTGGGCTCTCCAGGTTGCAGAATCCAAACCACAAGTCACCCTGAGCTCACTGTGCCAGGGCTTCCTCGGGAGGACTGTCAGCCCCTCACTTTACAGAGGGATGAACTGTGGATCAGAGGATCCGAGGCTGTGAGGCTTCCCAGAGCCAGGCTTCAAGCTCAGGTCTGTGTGAACCCAGACGCTGCGCTGCGGACCATGGTGGAGCAGAGAAGGACAAGAGATGCTGGGCCGTGACGGACGTGGGTGAGAACCCAGGAAAGATGCCCCACAGAGGGGACGGCACCGACACCCATCGCAGGCGGCACAGTGGGTGTGAGGGTGAGATGCAGCTGACTGGGTCTTCACTGTGTAGTGAAGGGAGGGGAGAGGCTGAGGTGTTAGAAGGGGCCGGGGAGGAGGGAGCAGAACTGCAAAGAGGGAAGAGAAGACCAACATGAAGGCTCCCGGCCAGCTCCGGGGGACTCAGGGTTCCTGTCATCCCCAGTGGGCCCAGTGCCCGGGCTGCCGGGGGAGCACTGTCGGTCTGGGCTCGATAGGCATGCGGTTAGTGGGAGCCTCAGCAAGTTAGCCCTTCCCCTAGCAAGCCAGTGAGAGCAAGCAGAGAGCAGACATATTTACCATTAGAAACGGCCTGAGTGGGGTTGTGCTGCTCTAGCCGCCTTTCCCCTGTTTGACATCGTAAAAAAGCTGTTTAGATGCCGGGCAGGAGCCAATGTGGCCCGCTGGACCCTCCCACGCCCTCCTCCACCCCGCAGGCCCAAACCACTAGCCCAAAATGGTGAGCCCGGGGAACCCCAAGATACTGTCCCCTTCTCAGCCTTGTCCTGCCTGGAATCCTCAAAGAAGGCAAGGTCCCAGCAAGTGACTGAAAAAGCGAGTCTCAGACAGTGACAGTTGTGGGCCCGAGGCCACAACAGCAGCATGCCAAAGGCAAAGCTGGCGTGCAGCGTCAAGTCTTCCAAACAGCCAAGTCCCCAGCCTTTCTGTGCAGCCGCCCGTCAGCCTCCCCCGACACCTGAGTGTCCTGGTGGCCCCAGACAGTGGAGTTTCTTCCTATCAAAGGCTGGTGAGAAAATGAAGTACGGGGCAGGTAAAGTAAGCTCTCCTGGAGTAGAGGAAGAGGAACCAGCAAAGGACACAGCTGTCAACCCTAGAACAGCCTCATCCGCTCTCTCCTGCCTCCCCTGGCCGTGGCCCCAGTGGCACAGTGGGTCTGGGCTTAGAGAAGAGCTCAAGCTAATGGTGCTTTCAGAAGCAGCCAGGTCCAGCACCCTCTGAAGAGAAAGAAGCCGAGTGCCACCCTGGGCCCTAAATGCTGTCCTGACTCAGGCGTCTTTTCTCTGGGGACCGCATGCAGTTCCTTCTGGCAGATGCTGGGGATGGGTAATGTGTCTGGCTAGTGGCGGGAGGTTTAGAAAGCGGAATTAGACCTCTGAGGGGAAAGTGAAAGGAGCTGGAACAACCTAGGCTAGGGAAAGCAGCGAGAAGACCTAAACAGGTTCTGGGATGTTGGGTGAGTTCACGGGGAGGCAGGAGGATTTCGGTGACAGAGCACATATTAGTGTGTGTGCCGAGGGAGCCCCAGAAGAGCACTGTCTGCCCCGACCCGTGTCTGCAGTGCGGGGCCAGGTCCCCGGGCTGGGGCTGGGGAGTCCAGCTCTTCACATCTCTGATGCACGGGGGGACCTGTTCACAGCTCCCCCTGCCCAGCCTGCTGGAGCCCTCCAGAGGGACGGCCCCCTGTAAACACCTATGCCCACATCAAGCTCACCGCTATAGCCTCAGCCAGAGCTCCTCCCTTCCTTCTCCCACTTCTCCAAGGGGACCCCTTCACCTGCGTCTTCTTCACACTAAAGACTGAGGGAGTTAGGGGTCAGCTTTAAGGGATTCAGCTCATCCAGGGTAGCTGGACACTTGAGGTGCAGCCTAGGACTTCCGGAAAAGGGATCCAGGTATTAAGAGGGCCCCAGACCTGGGCGAGAGGGATGGAAGGCTGCAGTGGGTGAGAAAAGAGGGCTCCAGGCGGAGCTGAGAACAGGAAGAAAGGGGGCAGGGGTGAGGGTGGGGGAGGAGAGAGAGGATAAAGAGGAAGAAGATACCTGGAGCCAGGAAACCCCATCCAGAAAAGAGCACTCTCCCACCTCCAGTGTCCAAGAGCGGGGGGGTGATAGTTCCCCTACAGTCACCGGGGCTTCGGGCAGGGGTCGCAGCTGACTTCCCTAGCGCTCCCACCCCTCCTCCAGCCTCGGTCAGCAGGCACTCCTGCCAAGGATCCCAGCTCCCAACACTACCCTGGGAGGAAGAGCATGGTGAGGCTCCTGGGAGGGGTGGCCCCCCAGTCTGTCTCAGAGTCGTCCCTCATAGACCAGGCATCTCCCGGGTCCCCAACCCCTCACCAGTCACTGCCCAGCACTCAGGTCCCCGGAAACCCCCGCACCCATCCCCTGGCGCGTCCACCGCCATCCGTCACAGAGGGCCGAGTCCTCCCCTGCCTCACCCACCGATGCACGTCTTGCCGTCGGCGTGGAGCACAAACTTGACATGGCAGCCGCAGCGGGGGCCCTGGTCTGTGTCGTCACACGTGTGCTGGCAGCCACCGTTTCCATAGTTGCACGTCACTGCACAGAGGGCAGGAAGCCTGTCAGCTGGCTCCGCCCTGGGAAGCAGCTCCCCACGACGTGGGAGCGGCCCTCCTCCCCAGCTGCCTCTCCCACACCGCTTCACTCCTAGTCCTTCCCTGGCGGCAGAGTCCGAATCCTTTCCCCTTCATCCCCCGCCCACCACGGCCCAGTGACCTCTCACATTTACAGTCCCGCTGGTTCTTGGTGAGCTCGAAGCCAGGGCGGCATTCACAGGCAATACCCCCTTTGGGGGTCTCGCGGCAAATGTGGGCACAGCCATGGTTCTTGTTCATGCAGTTCATTCCTTCTAAACGAGAAGAGGAGAGGGGTGAGTGTCCTGTACCGCCGGACACCTGCTCTGGGTGGAACTAGAAGGCGACGTTGGAGGCTTAGGAAATCAGGAGCATTCCACTGGTCTGTGACACAGAGGGGACTGTGTCTCCCTGTCACAGGCCCCCGGCCTTGACCACAGACCTGGGTGTGAAGGAGCAGAGCTCAGAGCCGTTCTGAACAGGGTGTTCGTAAGCACTAACATAGGGCCGGGGGTTTAGCTCGGTGGTTCTGCCGCCTGCCTCGCAAGTGCAAGGCCCCAAGTTCGAACTCCGGTACAAAAAAAAAAAAAAAGGCACTAACAGCCACCCGGAAGAACCTCTCCATGGCCTCTCTGTCCTTCAAACACCCGGTGTCCAATAGGTGACAGCCCTGGCCCTCAGAGGACTTACACTCAACCTGGGAAGGGACATGAGAATCAGATCTGCAAGGTGAGTGGAAGTGATTGGTATCGATAATTACTCTGCCACAAACATTTATGGAGCTCCCACTCCATGCAGGGCAGTACGTTAGGTGCTGGAGACGCAAGAAGCATTAAGACATGGTCCCTGCCCTCAGGATGTCACAGTCCAGGCCGAGGAAGGCTTTGGGGAGCAGCAGCTTGGAGAAGCTCAGATCCCTCCATTTAGGAATGCTATCTGCCTTGGGTCTGGGCCCGAGCTCACCCCAGAGTAGCCTTGATCCCGTGTGGACCGTAACCCCACATTAATTCCCTCAGACTTTTCTCTAATGCAGCGTCTGTCCACGAACCCCTAAGGATGTGACTGAGTTGAGGGACAGAGGAGGAGCTGGCAGGGTTGAAAAGGAAGAATGAAATGTAGGGTACTGAAGAACAGCTAGGAAGAAGCCTGGGCGGAGCGGGGCCTCCCGGGTCCCAGGCTGACCTTCCGGCCGCTGGATGCAGGTGTGCTGGTTGTCGCTGAGGAAGAAGCCTTCTCGGCAGTGGCACTCGTAGCTGCCCATCATGTTGACACAGCTCTGCTGACAGCCGCCGTTGCCCTCGGCGCACTCATCCACATCTGCGCGGGACAGGTGGTCAGTGGGGCCACCGAGGCAGGCCAGGGTCCAGGGTGTGCCCCGGACTTCAGCGGCAAGGGCCGAGGGAGTCCTGAAGACGCAACGCCGTCCCTCGCCTCGACCGGGAAGTCCTCGCCCCCTTGTCAACTCATACCGCACCGAGAGCGGGCTGGGGACCAACGGAGCATGTACGGTTGGGGTTTGAACCTCGTTCTCCAGGCGGAGCCTCGCCCTCCCTTTCCGTCACTGAGGGCAGAGGTCAGGGAAGGAGCCATAGAAGAGGACCGGCGATGGATGGAGACCGGTCATGCGGGGCGGGGAGCTCACCAGGGGATGCACCGAGAGCGGGCTGGGGACCAACGGAGCATGTACGGTTGGGGTTTGAACCTCGTTCTCCAGGCGGAGCCTCGCCCTCCCTTTCCGTCACTGAGGGCAGAGGTCAGGGAAGGAGCCATAGAAGAGGACCGGCGATGGATGGAGACCGGTCATGCGGGGCGGGGAGCAGCTGGTTGTGAAAAGTCGGCGGGAAATCGGGGAGCTTGGAAGCGGTTCAGGGTGAGCTGGGGCCACAGTGCCGAGGTTGAGGGCAGAGTGGGGCAAGGCAGTGAGCCTCGACTCCTTGTGGGGTCGGGGCCCTTTCGGTGGACAGGCCACGGCCCTGCCTGTCCCTTCCCCCTGCCTGGGCTTGCTGCCATATTCCTTTGCCTTTCTCCTATTTTGGTTTTAACAAAACAAACCCCGGCAGCTTGGCAAGGAGGGGTGGAGGAAGAGTTGCCAGGCCACACCCTGGATGGGTGGGGAAGCCCTAGGCTCTTACACCAGTCGCCATTCCGTGGCCCGGAGCCTGGCTCATCCTCGGGCTCCCACTTAAAGACCTTGACCATCTCTACGCAAGCTGCGGGCTCCCAACCCCCGGCCCTCTCACCTGCCTTGGTCCGGGGGCCTCAGGGCGATTGGGTGCCAGTGGAGCAGCTGGAATCTGGGCTTCCGGGGCTCCTCCGTCCCTCCCCTCCCATCCCCTCCGCTTCGTCCTTGTCCCTGCCCCACTCACGCCCCACCTTATCCTTCTCTTCTTGCTGTCGTCCCATCCTACACTCCATCCTCTTTGTCCCCTTTCCAGGCTCGTGGCTTTGTGACTCTAGCCAAGTTCTTCCCTGCAACTTTCTGTTGGAAAACGGAGGCTCAGGGGATGATCAGCTTAAGGGGTTCCCCTGAGCTAAAAGTACGGTTGAGACTTTGCTCTAAACCTAGATAAACCGTGGCTTCTCCGCCCTCTCCACGCCTAGTCATTTTCTTCCCAAGACACTTATAGGGAAAAGAGAATGAGCGTCAGGGGCTTAGACAGGGAGCTAAAGCCCTCGGAAGCCGATGTTGGAATCCTGTAGGCAGCCCGCGCTCCTCTCCGTGTGCCAGAGCTTCTCCTCCCGGAGGAGGTCATCGGGGTGACTGGGTAGAGGCGAGGAGAAAGGAGGCCCTGCTCCAGTAGCTGGAGTGGTGGCCGGGGTGGAGAGGGGAGGAGGGACCTAGAGCCAGCCCCAGGACGGGGCGACGAGTAGGCTGCACTACGGTGAGGAAGCCATGTGAGGCCAGCAGGAAATAAACAGCGAACATGCGCAATTACTCCTGGTCTATGCTTTCATTCCCTATTTCTGTTCTGGAACCAAAGAGAAGGAGTCTGGGAGAGGACCCGTGGGTTCAGATTCAAATCCTCTTCTGCCATGGGCTTCAGGTGTTCTACTTGGAGGAGAGTCTAACTTGGCCTCGGTAACTTTTCCAAATGACAGAGGCTAAAGGTGAGTGCAATTCCCTGGAGATTCTGTCTCCGATCCAGCTCCTGGGGCAAAGCAGATCAGGCCAGACTGAAGCCTCAGAAGCAAGGGACGGGGACACGGAGAGGGGAAGAGTTGCGAGAAACCGTGTTGGGACCAGGGGCTCCAAGGGTCCAGGGGGCATCACATCTTCGGCCCCAACATCCCCCCCTTCATCGAGCACCTGCTGTGTGCTCAGGGTGTTCTCTCGTGACGATCTGCCCAGCAGCCTTGAGTGGAAACTGCCACCCCCATTTTAGAGATGAAGAAGCTGAGATTCCAGAGCCCCATTCATTTTCCCAAGGCCCCACAGTGGGCTATGGAACCAGGATCTCTCTGGGCCCGCTGTGATTTACCCACTCTGGCCAAACCCATTACTCTTCTCTCCGGCCCCTCCCTCAGTAGCCAGTCCTGAAGAGGAGGCTGACCTGATTCTGGAGGGGCCCAGCTCTTCGCGGTCACATCCCCTCCTCACCTGGGGAATACCCAAGACACCTCTTTCCCTACTGGACAGCCGCTGACCGGCCCTCTCGCTCACCCAGACAGTTGTGTCCATCGTGTGCCAGGTGGAAGCCGTCGTAGCAGGTGCATCGGTAGTTACCCGGGATGTTGACACAGTCGTGCACACAGCCTGCACTGTCGTCTCGCTCACACTCATCCACATCTGTGGGCAAAGAGAATCTGAGTCAGCCACACGCAGCCATTTGCATGGGTTTGTTTGCTGTAGTGTTGGGCAATGAACCCAGGGCCTGTGCACACTAGGCAAGAACTCTACCACTGAGCCACACCCTGGGCTCCTTGTGGTGGTACATGTTTATAATCCCAGAACTGTGGGAGGCTGAGGCAGGAGGATTGCAAGGTTGAGCCCAGCCTGGACACTGTAGTGAGACCCCATCTCAAAATAAAAAAAAGGACTTGAAATATAGCTTAGTATGGAGGCCTTGGGTTTAATCCCCAGTATCTTCCTGTCTCAGCCTCCTGAGTGCTGGGATTATAGGTTTACACTACAATAACTAACTGGCTAATTTTCATCTAGACCTAAGTTATAAGCATTTTGTGTGTCTCTGTATAGCCTTTCTAATAACCAGTATTCCTGGCCACAGACTATTCCTTTGTGTTGCTATATCATAATCTGTTAGTCCTTTTTCTCTATCATTGGGCACTTCAATTTCTAGTACTTACTTTACTACCGTAAATAATGTGTCAAAGAACATTGTCGTTCATATTGTTTCACTGAATTATCTTTGAGTAAAGTCTCCAACAGCAAGATCCTTGAGTCAAAAGTTTTAAATACCTTTTAAGATTTCTGCTAGGTATTACAAAACTATAGTCAGCCTTCTACAGTCTTGGGTTCCACATCCACAGACACAACCAATATGGATCAAAAATAATCAAAGAATTCTATTGGTACAGATTTTTTTGGTCATTATTCCTTACACAATGCAATGTAACAGCTATCTACTGACAGGGCATTCACATTGATTTAGGTTTATAAGTCATCCAGAGATGATTTAAAGTATATAGAGGATCATATGGGTTTTATGTAAATAACCAGGCCATTTTCTATAAGGGACTTGACACCCTTGAATTGGGGTATCCCGGAAGGGTCTTAAAAGCAGCCCCACTCCGTTGCTGAGGGACAACTGTATGTTCCAATTCTAACGGCCATCAGGAATCAGTACATGCACCTTGTCGTCCACTGCAGCCTCATCAGTGCTGATGGCCACAAATGTAAAATAATATTCCAAGGCTACAGTAGTTTGCATTTATTACGAGGGGAAGATGTGTTTGTTCACAGGGTGAACTTCCCGTGGGGTACTGGTCTTTCCTGTCTTCTGTGGGCACAGCAGAGTGGCCTCAAGGTGGCAGTTCCAGCTACAGGAACCCCGGGCCTTGGTCACAGGATTTTGACCCATGCGCCCAGTCGGATGTGTGGCTGTAACTGTTCCTACCAGGGTCTCTGTGAGTCCATACGATCTTTTTTTTTTTTTTT